CCCCCACTCTGCTCAATTCCGCAAGTCCCCAAATCCAATCCCCAATCCTTGCAATCCTTTGATACCCTCAATGATGCAATACCTGCACTACCCCCAACCCCGCCCTAGATGATCGCGGAGCGCGTGCAGGACGTGCGTGGCGTGGTGGCTGCGTACGACGGGGAGGATGACGTGGCGCGCGCGTTCAAGGAGCGCATGTCCCACCTCGCCCACCAGGCGCCGCGCCGGAAGGGCCTTATAGGCGCCCCTGCGGCCGCCGCCGCGGCGCGGTAGCCGGGCGCGGCTCGCAGCTTGTATAGGTGGCGGCTGCGGCAGCGGCTGTGCGAATCGGACGCTGCCGGCGGCGGAGGCAGAGGCATCTGCATGACTCGGCGTGGGCGTGGGCGTGGGCGTGGCTGGCTCGTGCGGCCGCTCGCTGCATCTGCGCATGCCTTGACCCTTGACTCGCGAGCAGTTGCACGGGGGCTGGTGGCACCCGCTTTGCATTCAGGGCAGGTTTTGACTGTAACGGTCGCGGCTGACCCGCTGCTTTCCGGAACAGGGCATGCCGCTCAGCAGGCACAACAGGCGGTGTCCATTGGTGTTACTTATGTCAGTGGTGAGAAACCCCTCCGGCGCCAGCGGGCCGGCCAGCGGCGTCACAGGACGCCAGCGGCGAGGCGGCGGCGGCACGGGCAGGGGACGCCTGCCGCCTGCCGCAACGCACGGCCCTGCCGAGACGGCGGGGGCAGGTCGCGGCGCGTGTTGCTGGCAGGGGCAGAGTGCGCGTCGTCACAAAACCAGGCTCGCGCAGTGCTGCGCCGGGTGGCAAAAGGTGCGCGCTGCGGGGGGGCCAAAACAAGTGGTTTCATAGTCGCACGTGTCCAAAATGCAAGTAATCAGTCACGCCTGAAGGCTTATGGATGGGCACTGCACAGCCTCTACTGTCGGCCGCGCGGGTGGTTGAAACACGCGCAGCAGCCATGCGGCCGGCAGATTGATGCCGAGAAAAGCGGCTGCGGCTGCAGATGCGGGCACCTGTACAGGGCTATATTTGAAACAGCCGGTAGCAGATGTGGGCCGGGTGCCTGCCAGCCCCCCGCCGCCCCGCCGGCCCTGACTCACTGCGCTGCAACAGCTGCTCAAGCCCGCAAGCTCGCACAGGCAAAAGCGGCCAAACCATGGGCCAGCCGGAACGAGCCGCGCGGCGCGCCGCTGGCCGTGTCACGCGCTGCTGCAGCGCACAAGCGCCGCGTGTCCGCTCTCAACACCCGCCGCGGAGCCCCGCCGAGCAGCCGCGGCCGCGCTGCGCCAAGGCACCAAGTGCAGACGACCTGGCGCCCTCCGCGCCGCCAGCCATGCCGCGGTGCGGCAGCGGCTTGCCGCGCATGCCTGCCCACGCCTCACTTCTTCCGGAACACGAGCATGTGCATGGGCGTGAAAACGCCCGTGCGGCCGCCGGCGACCAGGCTGCGGGCCACCTCCACCAGCATGTTGTGCACCTGCTTCAGCCCCTTGGGCGCCAGCCACACCGCGTCCACTGCGCTCACTACGACATGGCTGACTTGGTTCTGCCACGCGAGCTCCTCCAGCCGCCCGTACCACGGCCCCGCGCCCGCCGACGCGACGGCCAGGTCGATCGACGTCACGAGCTCAAGCCCGGCCGCCCGCCCCGCCTCCTCGGCCTGCTGCCAAGTGCGCATCTCGGGCAGGCCGTTGCCAAAGTTGATCTCGTCGATGATGCGGACGTGATCTGCATTGGACGCGTCGAACTCCTTCGTGGACACCCACTCGTAGGACAGAAACAGGCCGCCCGGCTTGAGCACGCGCGCAACCTCGGAAAACACCTCCTCCAGCTTGGCCGCGTGGCAGGTGGCCTCAATGGCATAGGCCGCGTCAAAGGTGCCGGCCTCGAAGGGCATCTCGAGGAAGTTGCCGCGCACGACGTCGGTGATGGAGGCCAGGCCCAGGCGCTGGTTGTGGGAAGTGGCGCGGTCGACCTTGGGTGTGGGGGGGGGTGCATGGGGTGGGGCGGGGAGGTCGATGGGAGGTCGCGGGC